ATTATTATTATTATTATTATTATTATTGTTGTTGTTGTTGTTGTTGTTGTTGTTGTTGTTGTTGTTGTTGTTGTTATTACAGTATTATTATTGTAGTGGTTAGAGAGCCAGGCTAGGATGGAGGAGGCCTGGGTTCAAGTTCCCCCCTCGACTAAAACTCACGACGGGCAGCTGGAACCCACAGCACTGTGTTTGCTCCCTCTGCCCTGATGCATGAGAGCAAACCCCTTCCACGAAAAGGAAGGGGGGAAATGCCATTCTCTCCCCTCCCTCCCCAAAAAATGTTTCCCTTCAGAAGAAGAGGAGAAAATAAACAAGATCAGGAGTTTTTGCCCTAACACTGATCAATAGATTCACTTCTATAATTCATTAATAATAATAATAATAAGTTATAATAATGTGCCATCAAGTCAATTCTGACTTATGGCAAACCTTTTCCTGAGTCTTCTAGGTAGTGAATACACAGAAGTGGTTTCTCATTCCCTTCTTCTGGGACTGATGTGCAGCTGGTCCAAGGCCACCCAGGCTGGCTCTTCTCCCAGGAGATGCCCAGTGGGGGGAATCAAACTCCCAACCTCTGGCATATGTAACTCACTGAGCTATCCAGCCAGCTGCAAGACTTTTGTGCCCTGGGGAGTATTCTCAGTGGCTCAGACCTAGTTCTGACCCTCGTGCACAACTCCGTGAACATTTCACCTACCTCCAAAACTCTCTTTGGGTTGCTGTCAGACAGAAACGGCACCTCACCACAACAAAACCCCCCAAACTCTCCTTTCAACCAGCAGCGGTGTACAAAGTGCACAATATCTGTGCACAAGAAATAAATCAGGTTTAGCAGGGGCCAAACCCTGCATTCCAGCAGGCATCAGCTGCCAAGGGGACCAACGTCTCAGAGAACCCGGGGATGTTGCGAAGCTGGCAACCTGTACCCTCCATCTCCTTATGATTTTGAGAAGCAGCAGCAGCAACGGCAACTCTTGGCAAAGAGAGGAGAGTGTTCCATTTAATGGGCTGAATGGGTGGATTAATGAGCAGTCAATTATTTGGAGACAGGCCGGAGGGGGTGGGGGAAGTTTGCAAGCTGTGCCACAAGCAGGAATTATCTGTCTCCCCATTTGTGTTGTGGGAGAGAAAGGGGGCAGGAAAGAGAGAATCCAGGCAAAAGGTTGCAACCCCTCCCCCCCAAAAAACCTGGCCCCATCCATTAATAGCATACAGAAATTCCCCACTTCCAGTTATCCCCCAAGGAACCATGGTTAAGAAAAAGATTAAGATTAAGAAAAAGACTATCCTTGTTTTGCTGTTTTTATGTGTTGTCAAGTCACATACGGCGTACAGTGACCTTATGAATGCAGGACCTCTCAAACATCCGATCTTCAACTGCCCGGCTCAGCTCTTGCAAGTGCAAGTTTGTGGTTCCCTTTAGGGGAGTCATCCGGGACGTACAGTGACCTTATGAATGCAGGACCTCTCAAACATCCGATCTTCAACTGCCCGGCTCAGCTCTTGCAAGCACAAGCTTGTGGGTGTCACTCCATCTCGTACTGGGTCTTCCTCTTTTCCTGCTGCCTTCGACCTTTCCCAATTTTATTGTTTTTTCCAGAGAACCTTGCTTTCTCAAGATGTGGCCAAAGCAGAACAACCTCAGTTTCTTCATTTTTTGCCTCCAGAGATAGTTCAGGCTTGATTTGATCTAGCTTGCTTTAGGGTGTGGAAAAGAAAGAAAAAAATTTGCAACCTCCGGGGTTCCCAGCCCTCCTATCCCCCCAAATTTTTTATTGCAGGAACTATTACACCTCATTCTAAAGATGTATCATTTGCTTTTCCTGCTGATTTTCAAGCATCTAAGAAACAGAAGCTTTCCCTGAGCATTAAGTTTTTTGATGTCTCAGCTGCCCTTTTATCATCCTTTTTGCCACCCTTTCATCATCCTTTTAATCACCTTCATAGCCATCTGTTTTAATTTATCCCGGTAGTTATTGTATCTGTTGAATGTTTGTATTATTTTATTTTTGTCGTGTTTTGATATTGTGTTGTCTGTCTTGTTGCTGTTAGCCGCCCAGAGCGCCAGATGGTGCGGGGTATAAATCCAATAAATAAATAAATAAAGGTGAAGAAACGAAAAACGCAATAGTACAAAAACCCTCAAAGGAGGGGGGGGGGAAGCAAACCAAACATAATTGAGAATTACATGATTTTTTTTTCAAAAATGCTTTTGATTCTCCTGTTATTGGGTAAATTTGGGACCTTACACCTGTTTTGTCTGCTGAACGCACAAGTGTACAGATGAAAACTCTATTTAGATAATTGTTATATCTGTGGGATCCTTTTGTAGAACTTTATATATAATGATCACGTGCCGCCAGGTCAATCCCGACTTATGTTGACCCTTTTCAGGATTTGCCAGGTAGAGAATACTCAGAAGTGGTTTCCCCTCTTCCCTTCTTGAACCTCATATATAGATTCATTCCATTAATGTATTTCTATTTTTAGTGTGTGCGTGCGTGTATTTAGTTGCCTTTGTTTCTGCTTCTTTTCCAGCAGAACTTTTGCCTCTGCTTTTTTTTAAAAGAAAATCCCGTCCGCTGTGAGCACAGCTTTCCCTCCACGGCTCAGCTAGAATAATGATCCTCTCCTCTAAAGAAGTATCCATTTGCCTTTCTGGCTGGTATTGAAGCAAGGTAGAGAAGAAGAAACTAAGACGAATGAGCGACGGCAACTACAATATAAAATTAATTAAAATCCAATGGAAACGCCAATGAGGTCAATAAGAAATTGATTGCATCAAAGGTCCAAGTTATAGGGGCTTATCTCTTAATCCCTTTTAACAAGCAATGAGAGCTTTTAACTAAGTTATGGACCGGGGCAGGAGGGGGAGGGGGGAAGCACGACAGGATTTCTAAACCATATCTAGAAAATATGTCTTTGAACTACAAATAGGAATTAACCAGTGGGACCAGCAACAAAATGTTGCAGCATGGGAGGCTGTTGCACGAAGTGTCACCCAGTCCTGCTCTTTCTGGCATACTCCATGTTATTCCAGAACTTCCTGGAGTTAACAGACAGAAAGCTCTAGAATTGAAGGGGAGGATTGCACCCCGACCCGTTTTTTTGCAGCCTCCTCAATGTCCCCTATAAAAATAGTTTTTTTTCAAAAAGTCACTATTTCCCACTGAAATGTGGTGACAAGCCACTTAATGTCTAATGCAACAAGCAGTCCCCCCCCACCTCCAGTATGACTTCAAATGGAAGTCCTTCAATTAGCATATTTTTCCAAGGTATTTCTCTTCCTTAAATCATGGTTGTCATTTAGAAAGGATTAAGTTTTTTAAAAAAAACTTAAGGTCTCTATAACTCACCCTGAGACATTTCTAGGAGAAAGAATAAACATGTTCCATACGGTTGTGAACACACCAACGG